GGTTTCATCGTCGTCCTCAATGTGTTCAGGGTCTTCGTCAAAGGCATTCAACTCGCTCAAATCCACAGGCATCTCCTCCTCCTCCTGCACATCAACAGGCTGATCGTCTTCTTCTGAGACGACGCTCGGTGGCAGCAGCGAGTCGTCTTCTTCTGAGACGACAACAGGCATGCCCTCAGACACGCTTGAAGGCAGGGAAACCATGATGAAAACAAGCCCAAAGAACAACGTTCGATACAACATGCTTGAGCTGCGAATGATTACAGAGGGGTCGCTGATGACACCACAACTATGGCACCCAACCCTGGTCTACAGCATTTCGGTTTCATGTGGAAAAAGGGTGAAGGGGAAGGAGGGGTGAGGGGAGGAGGAGTGCGAAGGACGATGGTGGTGCTAATGATGCAAAGGAGGAGGAGAAAAAGGAGGAGGAGGACGACGACAAGGAGGAAAAGCGGCCGATGTGGTGTGCCTCATGGTCCCTACCTTGGCGATTCCCGCCCAGCAGGGGGAGGGGGGATAAGCACCTACCACCTACGCCCATGTAGGGGGGAGGGGGGATAGGCACAATACCTAACAAGTATAACCAAAATGCCTTGTCGAAGCCAACCGTCTCGAAAATCCAGCGCCTCGAACATCGAGCGAAGCGTTTCGATTCGCCCTTATACATGGGACCAAGAAAACGAGACACCCGCATTCAGATGCGATCAGAACAATGAAACCAGAGTCGAACAACGATGGTCATCCATTGCATTCGGACATGATTGATGACGATGATGACGGCGATGACGGTGACGAGCATGATGGCGATGTCGATGGTGACGATGATGACGATGATATACTTGGTGTTCCTACTTCTGGGCGGCCAAAAAACGGGCGTTCCTAATTGGAATGTGAACCATGGTTTTCAGACCATTCCTGGCTTGAGCGTGTATAGCGGCGTCCTGGAAAGTAGGGAGGTTGCGGATGACGTTGCAGGATTTGCGCCTGCGGCCGTTCAGCATGACCCCTTTTGCGCGTTTTCTGGATTACTCATATGAGTAGCTGGGCCAAGTACGCATTCAATGAGGAGTTGGGGGGGCGAGGCGAGGGTGAAGAGGACGAGGGGGGGGGACGAGGAGCAAGGCAGAGCAAGGCATGGCATGAAACGAATGGGGGAAAGATGTGATGAGAGGAGGAGCGAGAAGAACTGAGATGGGTAGGTGGGCCTTGCCTGCAAGGGTCCCCCTCCGCCGAAAAAGTCAGAGGTTCCAGGATTCGGTTAAAAACTGAACCTCTGACTTTCGTACTTTTCCTCACGACGCCAGAATCGAGACGCCCCTAAGGATTCCCCCCCTCCGCGATGATGGTGATTACTACGGCGATCAAGCGGCGAAAACGGGTGCTATGCCATGCCATTCCCGAAAGCCCATGCCATTCCTCGTCCCCTGCATCGTTTCAAAAGCTCTCAAAAGCCAATGCCGTTCTTCGTCCCCTGAATCGTTTCTAATAATGCTTCTGTTCTGCGCCATCGAAACGGATGATGTTCTACAACCACAGAGAGGTCGGTAGGTTGGGAAGTAAGGGAAGGGAGGGGTAGATGAGGGCAGGGTGAGGAGGACGATGAGGAGGAGGAGACAGGGGAGGAGGAGGAGGAGGACAATAATAAGCAAAGTACCCTGGCATCTGTAACCAAATTACTTAACATTCGTCTGAGAAGAAGAGTCCTTAAGTCCGCTGCGCGCTTCCGCTCCTCCCGGAACGGCGGGTGCCGCATCTCGCCTGTGCGGCAGCTCTCGTGCTCGTGGCCCTCGCGCTTGGCATCGCTCGGACGTGTGGATTTTCCTTCTCGGCGAGGACCTTCGAGGAGCATCCTCGACCATCTGGCGAAAAAACACGCACGAAACCGAACAAAATCACAGGGAATGGACGTCCGAGCGATGGCCAGCGCGTCGCGAGGGCGCCAGGAATCTGCTGGCCGGGCCCGCGTGCCTTGCCCTGCCCTTCCCGTCCTATCCCTGCTGCTCGGAGGGAGGAGAAGCGACACCAACACCACCGGGGGGGGGCACCTCCAGCCAGGAGGTCCACGATGCCTCCCCGAGCTGGAGGCTGGGGATGTCTCGAGCGAGAGGGGGGGACCACACCACCAGGGAGACCCCCCCTTGCTCCTCGCATCTCCTCGCCCTGGTGGTGTCGGTGTCGCCTTTCCTTGTTCCTCTGCTGCGTGCAGCGCGGGCAGGCGGCTGCTGGCAGACGGGCCATCCGCCAGCCGCGTGCCAGAAACGGGTGACGTGACTATGGCTCGTGCGCCATTCTGCGCACCGGGAGGTGCGCACACCGGAGTGGAACTCGAAAGGGGTAAAATTCGCCCGCCAGAGCAGCGCCGCGGGCCAGACCGCCCGCGCTGCAATGGCTCGAGCGCGGTCGGCGACACCAGAATCACGGTGTCCAGCGGCTGGTCTCGTACCGCGCCGATTCTCCGAACCTTGCCTCGACGAGGTCAGCGGAGCCAGTTGGACATGCAGTTGGCGTCGGTTTGTTTCTTCTTTCCGCTCTCCTCTCGCTCTTCTTCGTCCTTCTCTTTCTTCACCTTCCCCCCCTCCTGGTCCTTCCGCTGGCAGGACAGGGCGTTCTCAGAAGCACCCGTCCCTCGAGAGTGGTGCGGCCGCACTGGCGGCGCGGGGTGTCCTCATGAGCGCCGGTCCCGCGGTGCAGGTTTAAATGTTTCATGTTTCCTGGACAAAGAAAGTTGGCAAACAGCCTGGAGGTTGGCACCTCCGGTGGAGGAGGTGGTTCCAAGGCGGCGCGGGCACATTCGGATAGCCAGCAGCGACCTTGCAACAATAATCCGAGTGAGGGGGGCCGTTGATGTCCTCGTCCCCCCCCTCGTCTCGCCCGCCCCGTCACACTTATCCGCACTCCACCGATGGAAAAGTATCCCAAGCTCGGTGATGGTGGTAGTATTTGGGCCTCCTCGGTGCCCGAAGGACCACCACCAGCACCAAAGTCTAGGATCATCCTCCCCCTGTCTTGGTGCCGGTGTCCGCCATGAGGTTCTCGCAGATTGCTGAGGATCGTCCGAGAAGCGCCCGGGCGTCAAGCGCCGGCAAGATCTCAGTGAGACGAGGCCATCGACGATGTGCCCGCCGTTGGCCAGCGCGAAGGCCCTGGAGAGGAGCCGCTTTCAGGGTGGAGGCGAGCAGGCCGCCGAGGCGCCGCTGCGGCCACCTCCGGGGAGGCCTGCGAGTCGGCGCCTCGCGGCCGGCGCCTCGGGCCTCGGGTCCTCGAGGCTCGGCGGCGCTCGGTGCGCAAAGGCTCTCCTCCTCCTCCTCCTCCTCCTCCTCCTCCTCCTCCCCTCCTCTCCCCCCCTCCCCCCCTCCTCCTCCTCCTCCTCCCTCCTCCTCCTCCTCCTCATCCTCCTCCTCGTCCTCCTCCTCCTCCTCCTCGTCCTCCTCCTACTCCTCCTCCTCCCTCCTCCTCCTCCTCCTCTCCCCTCCCCCTCCTCCTCCTCCTCCTCCTCTCCTCCTCCTCCTCCTCCTCCTCCTCCTCCTCCTCGTCCTCCTCCTACTTCCTCCTCCTCCTCCTCCTCCTTCTCCCCCTCCCCCTCCCCCTCCTCCTCCTCCTCCTCCCTCCTCCTCCTCCTCTCCTCCTCCTCGTCCTCCTCCTCGTCCTCCTCCTCGTCCTCCTCCTCGTCCTCCCCCTCCTCCTCCTACTCCTCGTCCTCCAACTCCTCCTCCCCCTCCTCATCCTCCTCCTCCTCCTCCTCCTCCTCGTCCTCCTCCTCGTCCTCCTCCTCGTCCTCCTCCTCGTCCTCCTCCTCCTCCTCCTACTCCTCGTCCTCCAACTCCTCCTCGAAGCGAAGCCGTCGCTGGCCTGAGAAAAGAAAAGCCTTGGCAGCTTCTCGGCGGAAGGTCAAGGTAGCCCGCTTGGGAACGACGAGCGGGAGTACGAGTGTGGGGGGGGGCGCGGCGCTAATTATCGTCTACCCCGTCGAACCTGCGGTGAGAACGGTGCACAGACATGGGAGACATCACAAGATTCGCGGGACTGGCTTTTTCAAAATGCGGCCGCAGAGGAATTCAAGCCAGGCGTCCTGGATTCGGAGCGCGAGGGTTCTAGCCAGGAATCATGTTTCAACAAGTTCTGGACTCCCGATGGTGGTCGAGACCGTGCCTCAGGATGCGTCCCTGGTTTTAGGGCGGGTGGCTGGTGTCAGTTCGGCGCTGCCGACGATTGAGCTGATGTCGTCTGGCTCCGTCCCCGATAGCAACTGAATCACGGTCCAGCGCAGCGATGGGGATGTGTACTTGTCGTTTTGGCGAGGAGGGGCTCCCCAGGCGTCGTGACCTTGGCAATGCGTAGTCGTTGAGTGTGTGCGTGTTTTGTTTTATGCGCGCGAAATTCCTGGGCGGAGGTTGTCGTCGTGGTAGGAGGTGGTTCTGTCGCAAGCTGCGCGTTGCAGCGGTGGACACCCCCCACAAGCAGGGACTCGTGTGCCTACAGTTTGATTTTCACCTGCGAGATGCCGAAAACGCTCCCCCCCCCCCCGCCCCTGGCCTCCTCCTCCGCCTCCTCCTCCCCTCCAGAAGCGACGCGGGCCGCCGTGGTCCCAGGTGCAAAAGACCCGCACTCTTGTTTTGTGCTGCGTGGTGCCCAACAAGAAAAGAACTTCTACGGGCCTCAAGCTGCGCTTTTTTCAAGGTCGGTATGAAGCTTGACCCGGTGTCCCTGTCCCCTCCCCTCCGCCGCCTCCTCCCCTCTAGGAGTGGCGCTGGCGGCGACGTTGACGACGACGACGACGACGACGACGACGACGACGACGACGACGACGACGACGACGACGACGACGTCGACGACGACGACGACGACGACGACGACGACGCGGACGACAACGACGACGACGACGACGACGAAGACGGCGACGGCGACGGCGACGGCGACGGCGACGGCGACGGCGATAGCGATGGCGGCGGCGGCGACGACGACAGGGTCCAGGGTCCTGCAGCGGTGCGGGGGAGCGGGAGGCCCGAAACGCAGATAGTCAGCATCGTCGAGGCATCCCTGTGCGAGTACGAGGCGGCCTCCTGATGGCGTCTGCGCCGTTTCGTCGTCGTCGTCATCGTCGTCGTCGGGGCGGGGAGCAGGAGAAGAGGAGGAGGAGGAGGAGGAGGAGGAGGAGGAGGAGGAGGGGGAGGCCGAGAAGGACGAGGAAGGCGGAGGGGGTGAGGACGAGGACGGGGATGAGGAGGAGAGGTGGGGAGTGGCGAAGGGGGTTGGGAATGGGAGCTGGAGCTGGTCGAGGGTTGCGGTGGTGGTGCGGGGGGGGATGGTGCGGACGAGGGGGAGGAGGAGGAAGACGCGGAGGAAGAAAAGGAGTAGGATGATGATGATGAGGAGGAGGATGGGAAGGGGAACGGTGAACAGGAATAGGGGATGGATGATAATCAGGGGGAGGAGGAGGGGATGGGAGGGGAGGGAGGAAACGACAGGGGTGTTGAAGGCAGGTGGAGTGATGATGGCAAGGAAGATCATGAGGAGGGGATGCAGGAGAAACCGCAGTGGCAAGATAATAGTGACAATGATAGGGAGTAGTTAAGCGGGTGTGGACGGACGAGGGTGGGCGCAGGGAAATGAGGCAGGATGAGGGAATATAATCCCGAAGTGAATGCGAGGGGGTGGTGGACAGGGGACGGGGGGAGTGTAGGAGGGGGAGGGGGTACAAGAGTGGGGGGGAGGACAGCGGAGGAGGCTTACGTCTTTGCCGCGCTGCAGAGAGTGGCCTGGCGTGGCGCTACAGGCCTGCTTCGCCGCGGCAGCGGGCAGCGGAGGATGAGGAGGCGACTACGCAGGGGAGGTTGAGGAGGAGGAGGAGGAGGACGACGACGACGACGACGACGACGACGACGCTGACGGCGACGACGCAGAGGACGAGGAGGACGAGGGGGAGGAGGAAGGCAGGCCCAGGCGATCGGGAACGGCAGCGATCCTGACACCCGCCGAGACGACCCTCCAATCCGCGGCCCCAGGGGTTCCGACCGCCCCGGCCGGGGGCAGGGCTGCCTCCCGGACCGGCCCTGATGGCCCTGGGGCACGACCGTGGCGTCCGGAGGCCGGCACCATGGGGAAAGCGCCTGGACGGCACAACGAAGCCACACCGTCGGAGGTGCGGTCGAAGCATCGCAGACAATCACGACCGGGGCCCGACGACGACGAGGGCGAGGACGAGGAGAGGTACGAGGACGAGGACGAGGACGACGAGGACGACGATGACGCTCCAGACCGCCTACACACAAGAGCAACCTTTCGCTGGAGTGACCTCTGGTGCGGGCACACTGGGGTCCCCAGATGACTGAACGCGATGCGACAGCAGAGTCTCGCGCGCCCGGGTTTGGCCTCCCCGCGGCCCCACAAGTCGCTCACACAAGGTTGCACTCTTGCCTAGGCTCACCTTTGCGTGTAGCCGACCAGTGATCAAGCAGTGGCAAGGCGTCCTGGCTCGCCCATGGGCTTACCGAAGAATGTTCTAAGAACCTTTTGTGGTTTCGACGACGTGTTCTTAGAACATTTCTGGCTGGGGCTGTCTTGTTTTGACACATCGGGCTTATGCTCTAAGAACGCTGTTTGTGTTATTCGGGCATTTGTGGGCTCGTACATGTCGTGGTATGCCTATAGACATGCCAGGACGGTCGGTCCCTGCTCAAAGAGAGGGCCCCGCTCCCCCCCCCACTGCGCCCCGAACAGGAAGACGACGACGACGGATCGGCGCCCCAGCCGTCGTCGCCACTGTCGCCGCCAGCGTCGTCGTCGTCGTCGTTGTCGTCGTCGTCGTTGCCGCCCCGACCCTCCGCGCCGCGAACAAAAGCACGACGTACGGTCTTCTTCGTCCGTTCTCCCCTAGATCCCGGCGTCGCAGTGTTTTTCACACCGGGCGTTCTCGAGGCTCCAGGATTTCGGACGTTCTTGTTTGGTTCCTGTACGTTCTCTCGCCTCGGGATGCCTGCCAGCAGCTGCGCCTCGCCGAGAGCGTTCCAGAGGTGCCTGGATCGTCCCGAACGGCCGCTGAGAGCCGAATTGTGGCCCAAAAGTGGAAGATCCGCTGTCCAAACCCCGAGATCTGGGCTTTACAATTTTCTCACACCAGGCATTGTCGCCTGGGTTCGGGCCCCAGGCCCTCACAGATCGATCCGACTCGAGAAATGGCGCAGAGAGATGGGGTCGGGGGCCCCAGACATGAATTTTGCGATGTTGCAATTTCGTCGCAACGTAGGATCGCGGCGCGATTGACGTATCGTCCCCCCCTACAGTCCCCCTTCCTCCTGCTCCTGCTCCTGCTCCTGCTCCTGCTCCTCCTTCTCCTCCTCCTTCTCCTCCTCCTCTTCTTCCTCTCTGACACCTTCAGCCAGACGTGACACCAGAGCCTCTTTTGGACGGAGTGCCGAAGGGACCATTCGCAGGACTCGTCTTGTTTCACCCTGCTCGCGCGCCGTTTTGCGCAAGGCTTCTGATATGACCGTACGGTCGGGATCTTTCGGATCGGAGGTTGGAGGGCAATATCGCAGTGGAACGGAGAGCCCCCACTGGAAATCGGTTTCGGTTTCGTGTTCGCTTCTTGCGTGCGGGCGAAGCGAAGCTCTGTGGGCGCGCGAGACGAGTGACCCGCCGTCGCTAGGGCGATTCGGATGCAGAGGACCGCCCCTCCGCCCCCGGTGGGCGTGCGGTGGCCCGGGGTGTCCCGCCGTGGTGTCCTGTGGTGTCCCGTTGGTGTTCTGTCGGCGGTGAGCGGGCGGTGGCGGGGGGTGTCCCGCCTTGGTATGGATAGCGAAGTCGATCGTGAGATCGATAGCGAGATCGCTAAAATGGGATGGATAATTAGTGAGATCAAAAAGGAGATCGACAGTGGGGTTGATTGTGGCATTGGTTGTGCTCGCGCTGTCGGATGTGCAGGGAGGCGACGTCCCCTGGGTCGTGCAGGTCTTGCGGGGGCAGGCGATCTTCCCTGCGGCGAGCACAATGGGATCGATCGCTGAATCCATTGGTGCTAAAGACTGGCCGTGAGGTCGACAGTGGGATCGATCGAGTGAGATCGAAAGCGGGGACGATAGTGACATTACATCGCAGCGCAACATCGTCATCACGCGTCGTCGCTAACTCCAGGGCGCGTCACCAGCATCGTCATCATCACACCCATCGCTTTTGCCAGAAATTGGTTCTTTCCCTCTCCCACCCCCCACCTGCTCCTCCCCCCGCCTGCGGGAGACCCGGCCAGCGGTGGTCACCACAAGGGGTGCCCCCGCTGCCGGACACAGCAGCTTTTCCCAGGCCGTTCGTCGGGGGGCGCCGCGCCGCACGGCCTCCGCGAGGGCGTGGCCCCGGCGCTCCTTCGTTGCCACGATGCCGCGTGTGACTCTGGCGGCTCGCTTGCTGAAGCGGGGAGCCACGCGGTCCGTGAGCTCAGCGTGTCGCGCCGCAGGTTTTCAGCCCGACGGCCCAGCTCGCGCTTCGGGGCACGGTGGCGGGTGACGGGCAGCTCCACCGCGGTGGTTGTTTTCTTCGTCGGCTGGAGTGATGTTGACGCGCCAGGGTTCCAGTCAAAGACCGATGAGCTGTCGAAAGGGCAGCGTGTCGCTCCGCCGGCTCTGGCCCACCCGGCCTCGGCGCGACACGCTGTCCACTCCTGAGCCCGCCAGCGTCAACGTCCCGAGGCTCTTCCAGCCTCCCGCACCGCGGAGCGGAGCGACGCGCTATCCGTCCTTCGCGACGCGCCAAGCAAGAGTTCCTGACCGCGGGACCTCGTGGCACCCTGGCCGCAGTCTTCCCCGCGCGCGCCAAGTTTGAGTTTCGGGGGAGAGGGGGATGTCCCCTGCAGTGAAGTCTCACAGTAAGGATGAGGAGCTTGCCAAGGAGACCCTTGCATTCTTGCTCCGCCGGCCCACACTTGCCGGCTTTCGCTGGCCGACCGCGCTCGAAAACGCCAATATGGCCCTCCAAGGCCCTTGCATCCTTACCTTTGGCATCGCTCGGATGTGTGCGATTTTTCTCGGCGAGGACCGTCGAGGAGCATCTTGCATCACCTTACGAAAAAAACAAGCGCACGAAGCCGCATCGTGCGCTGGGCATGAATCTCCGATCGCTGGCGAGCATCGCGCATCCTTATCATGCGACTTGACTGTGCTTGCTTCCGCACGCTCTTCTTCCCCTCGCCCTCGTGCCTCGACCACCTACGCCCAGAGGGCTGGTGGGATTCTTTCCCTCGGCCGCCTCGGGGGTTCGAACGGCGACCGCGCGGCGGCAGTGGCCCCCCGCAGAGCTGCGGCCGGGCCGGGGGGGCGCCGCGGAGCCTCTGCCTGCGCCCGCGCTCGGCCCTCCTCCTCCCTCGGGCGTGGTGCTCCTCCTCCTCCTCCTCCTCCTCCTCCTCCTCCTCCTCCTCATCATCATCATCATCACCATCATTTTCCTCTTCCTTCTTCTTCTCTTCCTCCTCATTATCTTCCTTTTCCTCTTCCTTCTCCTCCTGCTCCTCCCCTCCTCCTCCTCCTCCTCTGCCTTCTCCTCCTCTTCCTCCTCCTCCTTAGTTTCCTTTTCCTATTCCTTCTTCTTCTCTTCCTCCTCCTCCTCCTCCTCCTCCTCCTCCTCCAGAGCTGCGTGGAAGTCTTTTGATCAGCGCGCTAGCTTGCTGCGTCTCGCGGCCAAGACATGGGCGAATAATCTCGGGAATGAACTATCGGGAAGCAGGTCAGTCAGGCAACAGGCTGCCAGGAGAATCAGCCAGCTGTCCGCTAGAATGCCGCGCGTGCTGATGCTGAGTAAGAATGCAGGCGTGAAGGTCACGGCGCTCTGGAGAACAGGGCTTTTTCCTGCTGCTGCACATGGCGCCTCTGCATCTGGGATCTCCGAGCAAGAACTACGCAAGTTACGGCGCATTGCTGGAGTTGTCTGTGGGGGAACTTCCACGGCATCATCGCTCGCCTTAGGTTAGCCACGCATAAGGATGAGATGTATGATCTGATTTTTCAGGCCACGTTGGTGCCTGTCAAGGCGTATGCCAGTTTAGCATGGGGCCAGAGGATTTCCTTCGGACGTCTGCAGCGAGCTTGGGATTCCGTCAATCGACAGCTGACCCTGAAAGCCACCTTGGAGGATGCTCGGAGACAGATGCTCACGTTGTGGCTCACTTGAAAGAGGATAGGTCGGAGCATTTGATCTAGGACTACCTCACGTTGTGCTATTTAAGAGTGCAACAGTTGCAGGCCAGGAAGATACTTGCTCGACACCAGGATGCTCGTATAGGTGGAGAGCGCATTTGGATGCGCGCGCTCAGGTGTCTTGGCGGAGCCAAGGCTACTGTTCGAGCCAGACTTGCAGGTGCTATGAAGTCCCCATGGGCTGGAGGTCTGTGGACGAGAGCTCGGATGGCTGCAGCTGGCTGTCGTATTTCGCCTGAGTGTCCATGGCGTAGGAACGGCACACCCGACACACTGGGGCACCAGATGTTTGACTGCCCTGGGTTCTACGAAGATGCCTTGGAAGAGGACTTCAATTGGGACCCCAAGATGAACCACGCGTATAAGTATCTTAAGGACAAGGGCATCGTGGGGCTCGGGCCGACGATTGGGACCAGTTTGAAATCTGCATTGGCATGCCGCTGTTCCCCCTGCCTCTCCCTATGTTGCCCTTGAAGATGCCCGCGGCGTTCTGGGGTGACTGGGGCTCTCGCACAGATTCCTGGGATACGGTGGTTGTTTTACGGATGGGTCTGGCATGTCCCCAAGTTGGCCAGAGTTGTGTCGATGTGGCTGGGGTTTGGGTCAGACTGGAAGCAACGGCATGCCTGTGCGCGGGGCCTGGGGAGCTCTCCAAGGCCCCATTCAGAGTGCTGGTCGAGCGGAGCGTACTGCTCTGTTGCAGGCGCTCCGACACTTGCCGATGGTGACGCTCGCGGTCACCGGCTTGCTCTCCCTTTGCCATTAGGGCGCAGCTTGGCACCAAGACCAGGCCGACGCACAGGCGACGCATGCTGAGATTTGGAGTGACGTTTTCGCGACAGTCGGCGAAGCGCGACCTCCACGATCTTGTTGGATTCCAGCGACTCGCTCCATGCCCTTGAGTTCTACTTCGGCAGCTGTTGGGCTGATCGCTTTGCGAGAAGGGGTGCTCTGGAGCATGCCTGTCCAGAAGCGTTTGTCGATACTTTTGAGTGCCACATGGTGGGGCCAAGTTGAAGGCCAGGTTTCACGGGTGGGCGGCTGCTAAGACTGCATATCGTGACAGTGAGTCGGACCGCCCTGTTAGCACGCGCAGACCCCCCACCTTCCAGCCCGTGAGTTGGACCTCGCTCAGCACGAACTGGTGTGGAGGAGTGAGGTGGGGGGGAGACAATTTTATGCAGTGCAAGCTTTGTTTGTGTGTGTGGCCAGGGCCCCTGACAGCCTGGCCAAATGGCTGGCTCGCCCCTGCAGCCCCTCAGCAGAGGTTGCTCGCGGCCGGAGACCAGGACCTGCAGGAGGCTCCTCGAATGAAGTCTGCTGCGGTGCGAACGGCCCTACAGTGGGCTGATGACGTTTACTCTGGTGCTGCTGGCTCGAGCAGGGATTCCGCGCATGGCGAATCGACGGGCCCGCCGTCCGAGTCTCTTGTGGAGCTCCGCGGGTACCAGGTGGTGGTGAGCCAGGGGGGCGCCACGGTTTGCACCCTGTGCGGCCCCTATCAAGCGTCGGCTCACGTTCCTGCGTGTGATCTCGACTTGGACTGCAAATGCTTTGCCTAGCCGAGGATAAGCCAACCAGGTCCCGACAGCCGCATACAATCTCGCTGCGATCCGTGCTGGCAAACATCCCAAAACGGGCAAGCGGTTCTTCTAATGTAATGGGTTTCGTGCCCAATGGTGGCCCGTGCTCCTGTTCCGCAACTGCACGACTGGTCATCGGCGTTGTCCTCCTCTTCTTCCTCCTTTTTTGTTGTGATTCCTCCTCCTCCTCCTCCTCCTCCTCCTCCTCCTCTTCCTCCTCCTCCTCCTCCTCCCCCACCTCCCTCCATCCCTCTTCCTCATGGTGCCTCCCTGTCGCCCCCCGAGGCGTGCTGGCAGGGCGGGCAGGGCGTTTCGCCTGAGGCGCCCCCAGCGTTGATGATCCTGAAGCTTACATTCGCAGCAGCTTCACGGATGGAGGGCGGACGCTCTCAAAATGTGGTTCTCGCCTCAGTTTCGCGCGCATTCGGTTTCAACCATTGCAGGCCTTTCATGGATAGAGGGCGGTCCGGTTTCAACATATGGTTCTCGCCTTATCGTTCCGCGCATTCGTCATAAGAAGTTGCAAGCGCTTCACAGATGGAGGGCGGTCCTTTTCAAAACGTGGTTATCGCCTTAGCGCCGCGCACATGCGCTTTCCGATTTTAAAGCAGGTTCAAGAACTCTCTGTGTTACGTCCCAGCACTGGTGCTTTCATGTTGCACGCTGTCTGGATGTCAGGGCGCAACAGTTCCGTTGCGCGGTGTTGAAGTCCCTCGAGCGGTCTTTTGGCACGGCTCAGGATCGTGAAAAACAACGGTAACAGTGATTGGCGGCGTCGAAGTCCCAAGATTTGTGTTCTTGCGCAGCTTCGTACTTTCAAACAGTTGTTTTCCGACGGGGCACTTCCCTCAGTGAACATGAATTCTTCGATGGGGCCTATGAAGCGGGGACTTTGAGGGAGGGTTTATTCCAACATCGTTGATGGGTCTTGGGTTTGCACTGGTCCTCCTCCTCCTCCTCCTCCTGCTCCTCCTCCTCCTCCCTCGGGCGTCCTCCTCCTCCTCTCCCTCCTCCCTCCGCGGGCGTCCTCCTCCGTCACTGGCAGCATGTTGTCTTCCAGTAGAATCGCGCCGACACGGCTCCTCGTCGCCACTTGCCGTGGGCAGCATCGATCGCTAAGCCGTGGCGGGAACTTGGCAGCAATGCGCCAGGGTCGAGTGCGTGCCCTGTGTTGCCTCCCTTGAAAATAGGAAGGGGAGGTCCGCGGGGTATATGGTGGTGAGGGCGCTGGCGAAAACATGCGTGCGGCCCTGAACCACAGCAGGAACCATGTCACAAACATTTTATAGACTGTACCTGCATTGTGAATGTTTGCTTGCATGGCTTTACTTGGGCTTGTCGCTTGCGTGCTTTGTCCCCTTGGGTTTGCGGACCTCGTTTGCTCGCTCGGTCGTTTGTCCAACCGCCATGTGTCTTCTCTGGCTCTCGCTCATTCCTCTTTTCGGGCCCTTGTTCGGTTCCCGCTCCACTATCGCATGGGATTTAGTGCTTAACTGGAACCCACGTCCAAATAAAGATCCGCTTCCCCTTCCTCCCTCGGGAGTCCTCCTCCTCCTCCTCCTCCTCCTCCTCCTCCTCCTCGTCTTTCTCCTCCTGCATCGGACGTCATCCTCTTCCACCTCGAGGCCATTTCTGCACCCCTGGCGACAACGGGCGGGACCGAAGGGGTGGAGGTCAGTCGCGTCTCGGTTCGCGCCAGCGCCGTTTGGAAATGCCCAGTGTTCGTGGGTCCACGATGCGAGAAACTCGCCACGTCGGGGGCCTGGATTCCCCTCCCCGACGCCCTCTTGCGTCGTCCGCCCTCCGCCCTGCTGCTCCTCTCCTCATCCTTCCTCCATCCCTCCTCCTCCTCCACCTCTGCCTCTCCCTGTTTGCTCCCCCCTCCTCCTCGTCCCCCCATTTGCCCTCCTCCCCCCTCTTCTCCCTCCGCCCTCCGTCCTCCGTCGGTCCCTCACTCCGCCGTCCTCCGCCCGCCGCAGGTGGTGGTCGAGACGACGCTCGTCTGCGGCCACCACAGGCTCCTGCCCCACCAGCCGAAGGCGGAGCAGACCATACAGTGCAACGCTCTGCCGGGCGAGCTCTGAGGCGGTCGCCAGCGCCAGGAGGGAGGTGAGGTGATGGAAGGCGGGAGGAGTCCTCCTCCTCGATCCTCCTCCTCCTCCTCCTCCTCCTCCTCCTCCTCCTCCTCCTCCTCCTCCTCCTCCCCCCCCTTTTCCTTCTCCTCCTTCTCCTCCTCGTTGGTAAGGCTTCGGGTTGCGCACAGACAGTCCCCCCAGGTACTCCAGGCTGGCTTCAGCAGGCCCCCCGAGTACCCCCAGCTGGCCTCGACAGACCCCCCGAGTAGTTCGTAGCTGGCCTCAGTCAGGCGAGGAGGAGGAGGAGGAAATGAGGAGGAGGAGGAGGAGGAGGAGGAGGAGGAGGAGGAGGACCATTATACACCCAAGAGTCATCAACGAGGTTGGAACAAGCCCTCCCTCCAAGCTCCATCTTCATAGGCCCCTACAACGGTTCATTTCCATTGACGGAACTGCTTTGTTGGAAGACAACCGTTTGAAGACCTTGAGGCATGCCAAAACATTGTTCTCGGGATTCCAACGCCACGGATCAACCTGACTGCTGCGTCTTGACGATCCTGAATCGTGCCAGAACGCCATCCTTGGAACTTCAACACCGCGAATCAACGCAACTGTTGCACCCACATGATCTTGAATCCTTCCAACACCATTTCTGGTACGCTGGTCATGGGAACCCGTGAAACTCTTGCAAAGTCTGAAAAGGAATGTGCCGAGGCGAGAGCCACATTTTGAAAACCACCCGCCCTCAATCCGTGAAATTCCTGCACATTTGTTAAACAAATGTGCGCGGCGCTCAGGCGAGAGCCACATATTGAAAACCACCCGCCCTCAATCTGTGAAGCATTTGCAACTGTTTGACACGAATGTGCGCGGCGCTTAGGCGAGAGCCACATTTTGAAAACCACCCGCCCTCAATCTGTGAAGCTCTTGCACGTATTAAAAAAGAAGGTGGGTGGCGCCAAGGCGAGAGCCGCATTAAACAAACGGCCCGCCATCCATTAGTGAAACTGTTGCCATGTTTTAAGTTCCAGGGTCATACATGGTGAGGAAGTCTCAGGCGAAACGCCCGGCCCGCCCTAAAAAATGGCCTCAGGGTGCGACTGGAAGAAGTTATTCAGAAGGACAAGGATTGGAGGAAGAGGAGGAGGAGGAGGAGGACAAGTATAACCCAAGACTCGTCAACGATGTTGTAATACATCCCTCCGTCCAAGTTACCTCTTCACACGCCCCTGCAAGTATTCATTTTCACTAGGGAAAGTGCCCCGTTGGAAGACGACCGTCTGAACATCTTGAACTGCGCCAGAACGCAATTCGTGTGACCTCAACGCCGCGAATCACCGGTGCTGTTGCGTCTTGGCGATTTTCAATCGTGCCGAAGACCGTTCCTGCGACTTCAACGGCGCGAATGAACGGAACCGTTGCGATTTGACAGTCCGATATCGTGCCAACACATCATGTCTGGGACGTTCACCATGAGAATCAGTGTAACTGCTGCGATTTCTTTAACGCGTATGTGCGCGCCGCTAAGGCGAGAGCCACATTTTGAAAAGGCACCGTTCTCCATCCGTGAAGCTCTTGCATTTGTATGACGAGTGTGCGCGATGCTAAGGCGAAAGCCACATTTGTAAAGCACTCGTATGTTTAAAGGCGACTGTGCTCGGCGCGTATGCGAGGGCCACATTCTGATAACAACCCGCCCTCCATCCGTAAAACTTTTGCAATGTTTTATGGCGACTTTGCGCGGCGTTAATGAGACAGCCACATGTTGAAAACGGCTGCCCTCCATCCGTGAAATTCTTGCAATGTGTTAAGGCGAATGTGCGCGGTGCTAAGGCGAGAACCACATTTTGAAGATGGTTCGCCCTCCATTCGTGAAACGCTTACAAGCATTAAGCTTAAGGATCAGAAGTGGTGAGGAAGTCTCAGGCGACACTCCCAGCCTGCCCTACCCACATACCCTTGGTTGCGACATGGAGGAATTATGTATACGGAAAAGGAAACGAGGAGGAGGAGGAGGAGGAGGAGCTCTGACGGGCGAGGCGGGGTCTGAGGAGGAGAAGGAGGATGGAGGAGGAGGAGGAGGAGGAGGAGGAGGAGGAGGAGGAAGAGGAGCTCTGAGGAGCGAGGAGGAGGATACAGGAGAATGGGGAGGGCTGGCAGGATAGAGCGCTGGCTCTCTTCGGCTGCCCAGTGCGGAGCCCCGCAGCCGTGCCCGGTGCTGCGGCGCGGCGTGGAGGAGGCTGAGCTGAGCTGAGCACGGCACGCTCGTGTCGTGCCGACGCGGCGACGGCCCCCGCGCGGAGATTGAACGCCGCCAGCGGCTTAGGATCGGCCAGTGGGCGCTTCTCCTCCTCCTCGTCCTCCTCCTCGTCCTCCTCCTCCTCCTCCTCCTCCTCTGGCGATCGAGAATCCGCCGTTCGCTCATGGCTGAACGATCCAAGCGGCGTCAGAGACCAACACCGACATCGTCACGACACGAACCTGCCGTACCCGCTCCACCTCAGGCAAGATCCAGTTGGATCCGACCGATCCGATTCAATATCGATCCCGGCCAGTCCGATCCGATTCGATCTCGATCTCCCGACGGTCCGATGTGGCCTGATGTTTTCACGGCGCTGTTGTGCATCCTGGCGCGGACGATCCGATTCGATTATCGAAGACGCCTACGGCGAATCACCGCCGCCCCTTGCCCTTTCGGAAGCGCCGATGCGGCCGACTGCTGTGGCCAGAGGTCTGCCAAGTTATTGGGCCATATGTTCCCCGAATCGGTCTTTACAGCCTTCGGGGAACACGTGGGGGAGGACGGGGAGGAGAGGAGAGATAGGAAGGGGGGGAATGGAGGAGGAGGTCTCTTGAGTGCCTTTTTGGCTACTCTGGGTTTATATTGGGCCACATGTGCGGTCTTGGAAGCATCTTGGGGGCCTCTTTGGAAGCATCTTACCCGTCTTGGAGGCCATTTTGGCCGTCTTGGAGGCATCTTGGAGGCTATCTTGGGCCATCTTGGCCGTCTTGGAGGCCATCTTGGGCGTCTTGGACGCCTCTTGGGCCGTCTTGAGGCCCTCTTGGGGCCTTCTTGGGGGCATCTTGGGCCGTCATGGGGCCATCTTGGAGGCCTCTTGGGTGCTGTTGGGGCGATGTTGGGGACCTCTTGGGCCGTCTTGGGCCGTCGGAGAGCTGAAAAGAAGAACATGCCAAAATCCTTCAAAAACCTAAGGAAAATCAATGATTTTAACCTATTCGGGCCTTCCTGGAGGGCGTCTTGGAGGGCTCTTGGGCCGTCTTGGAGGCCTTTTGCGGGCCTTTTGGGCCGTCTTAGACCATCTTGAGGCCATCTTGGGCCGTCTTGGGTGCATCTTGGAGCCATCTTACCCGTCTTGGAGGCCATCTTGGCCGTCTTGGAGGCATCTTGGAGGCCATCTTGGGCCATCTTGGCCGTCTTGGAGGCCATCTTGGGCGTCTTGGAGGCCTCTTGGGCCGTCTTGAGGCCCTCTTGGGGCCTTCTTGGGGGCCTCTTGGGCCGTCATGGGGCCATCTTGGAGGCCTCTTGGGTGCTGTTGGGGCGATGTTGGGGACCTCATGGGCCGTCTTGGGCCGTCGGAGAGCTGAAAAGAAGAACATGCCAAAATCCTTCAAAAACCTAAGGAAAATCAATGATTTTAACATCGGGCCTTCCTGGAGGGCGTCTTGGAGGGCTCTTGGGCCGTCTTGGAGGCCTTTTGCCGGCCTTTTGGGCCGTCTTAGACCATCTTGAGGCCATCTTGGACCGTCTTGGGTGCATCTTGGAGCCATCTTACCCGTCTTGGAGGCCATCTTGGCCGTCTTGGAGGCATCTTGGAGGCCATCTTGGGCCATCTTGGCCGTCTTGGAGGCCATCTTGGGCGTCTTGGAGGCCTCTTGGGCCGTCTGAGGCCCTCTTGGGGCCTTCTTGGGGGCCTCTTGGGCCGTCATGGGGCCATCTTGGGGCCTCTTGGGTGCTGTTGGGGCGATGTTGGGGACCTCTTGGGCCGTCTTGGGCCGTCGGAGAGCTGAAAAGAAGAACATGCCAAAATCCTTCAAAAACCTAAGGAAAATCAATGATTTTAACCTATTCGGGCCTTCCTGGAGGGCGTCTTGGAGGGCTCTTGGGCCGTCTTGGAGGCCTTTTGCGGGCCTTTTGGGCCGTCGTAGACCATCTTGAGGCCATCTTGGGCCGTCTTGGGTGCATCTTGGAGCCATCTTACCCGTCTTGGAGGCCATCTTGGCCGTCTTGGAAGCATCTTGGAGGCCATCTTGGGCCATCTTGGCCGTCTTGGAGGCCATCTTGGGCCAAGTTGGGGCAACAAAGGCATTGACAGATGGATTTTCGGAAACTTGCGGGTGGCCGGCGGGACGGGCCGAAGCCCACTGGGGAGTTCTTTTAGAAAAAGAACCAAAACCAAAACCTGAAACGTCCAGCACGCCGTGCACCCCTGTGGCAAGACCACAGGGGGCGGCGGATCGAAGACGCCTACGGCGAATCACCGCCGCCCCCTGCCTTTTTGGAAACGCCGATGTGGCCGAAAGTTGGACTAGAGCTTGGCCAAGCTATCGGACCATGAGTTCCCCGAGTCGGTTTGGAAAGCTTTCGGGGAACACATGGGAGAGAATGATTATGAACAGGAAGAGGAAGAGGAAGAAATAGAGTAGGAGGATGAGGGTTGTTAGGAGTCTCTTGGGGCACCCTTGGGGTCTGTTGGGAGCTTCTTGGGGGCCTCTTCGAGGCCTCTTGGAGGCATCTTGGGGGCCTCCTTGGGCCTCTTGGGGGCCTTTGGGGGCTTCCTGGGGGTCTCTTTGGCCGTCTTAGGGCGTTCCTGGTCCGTCTGACGCCGTCTGGAGCCGTCTTGGGGGCCTCTCTGGGCCGTCTTGGGGCCCTCTTGGGGCGCTTCAGGGCCGTCTTGGAGGCCATGTTGGGCGTCTTGGAGGCCTCTTGGGCCGTCTTGGGGCGCGGCCGTCGGAAGGCCGAAAAGAAGAAAACGCAAAAAACCTTCAAAAACCTAAGGAAAACCAATGATTTTGGCCTCTTCGGGCTCTCCTGGAGAACGTCTTGGAGGCCTCTTGGGCCATCTTGGAGGCATCTTGGGGCCATCTTGGCCGTCTTGGAGGGC